ATGGAGTTTAGTAGCTTCTCTCATTTTCCTTTTTTAATGTACAAAGAGAGATCTTGCATCTGTGTACAATCTGTGTATCCACATCCTGTTGCTTCCGTTGACAACTACTATCTCTGCAAGTCATTAGGGACATAGCAAAGGGAGCTGAGACCAACAGACCACTACCTGCTCCTCACCCCTGCCTCTTCCCTGACATTTCTGTGTCTGTAGTGACCTTCTATCCAAATGAGAAGCCATGGGTCCATTCAGCATAACCTCCTTTATTAGCCTTTGGAAAAGAGGCTGACAAGATGCAGGGAGAGGCACTGGGGAAGGAATAGTGAAGAAGTCTAGGCAGGGGAAGGGCAGCAGGGGTGGCAGAACCTCTGTATTGGGTTGGGCTAGGGCTAGGACAGTGACTCTTCAGGTCCTGACATAAGGCTGTTTTGGGCTAGTTCCACCAAGCAGGTACCATACTTTTTTATGCCCATGCTAAGGGCAGTTGTGTGAGAATCACATGCGATGTGAATGCATTGCTTTTGTAGGAGAGACAGCCAAATGCTCAGCTCTTCCCAGTCCTCAGTATGGCTTTGACTCCTTCCACTCCATTATCCAGATTTCTTCTATACATCTTGCTGCTGTATTGTGATTGGGCTTTCTCAGCACTCTGCTTGACTAGTCATTACTTTCTTTTCCCAGCACCAGACAGTGTTCATGTCCTCCTCTCACTGTTCCTACCGCCCAGCATCCTGCTGCCTGAAGTCATGCACATATGTCACCTTCCCACTTACTCTCCTATTTTCTCTGGTAGCTGTGGTCAAAGACCCAGATCTGTTCATACCCCTATTTCTTCTCTATTGTGGGGGTATTTTCAACCTTTTTCTCAGGTTCTTGGGCTGAGCAGTCTAGAGCACTGCTGTACAGGACCTGGATGACTGCAGAAAATGTCATTTACATCAGCTTATTCTCACTGGGGAAACGTGCAAGTTGTAAAATATATATAATGCAATAAAGACAACTTTACTGTTGCCTGAGGCCTAAAGTGAAAGTGAATCCCTCACATTGCATTTCCCCCCTTTGCCCAAATACCAGAGGGCAGAGAAATCTAAAAATGGACGAGTGTTTTGTTTCCATCTCAGGGGGTGGGGATAAGACAAGGGGGCAAGCCTAAAATATATTGGATTTGCATTAATCAGTAAGTTTGAGAGGGGGTTCTGCTAAAAAGGGAGCAGAGAAAGGCTGTAGCAGTATGCAGAGTCCAGGCCAATTAACCCTCAATGTACCTGAGATGAGCACATCCCATGGTGTGCAAGAGGTTCTTCCTGGGAGTGTGAACATTAAAGGGGACAGAGAAGAGAAAGGGACAGGAGATGCTTTTCTGCAAGTGTTCTGCAAGCTCTGGCACAGAAAAGGCTTCTTACAAGTTTCCTGGGAGCTGAGAAACAAAAGCAGCTGCTGAAGAATCACTTTTAAGGTAGGTTCCTGATGGAATGTACTTAGCTGTCTCTGTTATCCACACTTTTTAAAGAGCTGAAATAACAAACTGAGCAGAGTGGCAGAAGTTATCGCTGCTGTTAGAGACAGGAGTGGATTGATGTATGACTGGCAGAAGGAGGAACAGATCACTGCAGGTACCAGAACCCACTACAAAAAAATATCATGGCTACTGATCCTCTGAGCTGACACTGGGCCTTGCAGCTAATCCAGGATGGCAACTAGGTGTCTTTAGCATTGCTCTTCAGCAGAAAGAGAAATAAGTTGTCATTACAGTTATACTCCAGGCAGGAAGGCCAAGACACTATTCTTTTAAAAACTCCTTTGAGTGTAAGTTGTATCCTTGTTGCTGCCAGTTGTATTCTGGCAGGAGGGTCACACACACGTGTAACTTTGCAATAGTGTCCAACATGTCAGAACCCTCTGGCTGTGCAAGTGAAAGGGAGACCCTTGTGCTGCACGTTAAGTCCATAATGAGAGACGTGTGTGTGCAGAGTGGGGGGCATATTTGAGGAAATTACAAAATATTTCTTGAGTTAAGTATGTTTATGAAACATTTCAGTCAGGACCAGTTACACACCAGTGATTCCCAACCACATTCAGCCTTTCTCATAGCACCGCATGCTGCTTTCTTCTGTCTTCCATCTTGACAGAAACCCAGAATACTGTTGCTGTCCTTGCCTTCCTCCACTGCTGTTAGTTTGAGAAAGTGCCAGTGGAAAGACTTAGATAACCAGCCAAGCAAAGCATATTAGTTTGGTCTCTCATCTCTAATGCTGGCTTTCGAGCCAGAGAGGTTGTTTTAATTGGGACCCACTATTTGAGATAAAATGATTATTTTTTTTTTCCTGGAAAGCAACTGTGTTAAATTTGAGATTAACACTAAGATTGATTAAATTTAATCTGGACTCAATTTTAACTTTCTATCACTCAACAATGACTTCCATAACAGAGAAGAAAAAAATTAAAGCAGCCAGAGCATGGGATACATCCATCTCAGCTATTCATTCTTAGGATATTACAGGAGGCCAATGTGTTTGGACAGTGAAAGGAGAGAAACAGCCTGGTTTTAGAACTGCTAAGTATCCCAGAGAATTCCTAGTACACTTAAATTCTGGATGCTAAACTTCTTGAACATCAGACCTGTAGACTACAGAGTACGTCTACGTTACTTGCAGTATCAAATGAAAAAATCTAGAGTTCCTTATTCTCTTGCTGGTGTTTTTTCTCCTATTACTTCATTGTAAATGATTAAAACCTGCTGGCAATATCCCCTCTCCCCCTTTTTTATTAATTCACGATGAATTCTATTTTCTGGCTGACATCACTAACTGTCATGGTTCAAAACTCTACCAGTGTTTGGTTGGCTTGTTGCTTGCTTGCTGAAAAAAAAATGTTTATATCAGGATGTTTGGAAAGCAACAAAATGTGATGTTATGGGTTGGGGGGAATTGTTTTGTTTCTACCCAACTTGAACTTTGAGATATTTACATTGTCTAATATGTGACTCTCATTAGGAAAACAATGCAGATTGTTCTGGTCTGGTTTTTCCATTCATTCTTTTGTTATAGCTTTGACAGTGTAGTAATATCAGTAGGAAGTAGCATTCTGTGCACACACTGGGGTCAGATGTCTAGCAAACTTGCCAGAGGGTAAAATATCTTTGAGAAAACTCTCAGATATCCCCATGTTCCATTTTTGCTTCCCCACTTGAGTTTCATGCACATCTCACAGTCACCCGCTGCTGTATGCAACTTCTCTCTGATTATTAGGTTTGACCTTAAAGGCGTTTTCTGTTAAAGTCTCTGTATCTGAAGTAGTCTTTCACATGTGTCAGAGTTTGAATCCCTATCCACCCTAGATATGGAGTGAGCTCTCATGCCAGTGAGAATTCAAGCCCTTAGTTAAAAATCTTTCTACTGCAACAAGGATGACCTCTATTTTGTGAACACACAATGAAGACATTAAAAACCTAAGAATTTAGCTACCTACAGAACCAGAGACCATTCTGAATCTCATATTTTCCTGCTATTGCATGTCTGTTTAAAGACATCAAATGTCAAACTGGTAATGGTTTTGCATGCAGAACAAGGGAATATGGCTATGGTCTGAGACAGGTGCACAGTTTTAAGACATAAAAGGATGATTTTCACTTACATACTGCTCCCACTGGCAAAAAGGAGGCTAGTCTCTAAAAAGAATAAATATACATATTAAGAAACTGCCAATTGGAGGTTCCATCTGTTAAAAGGTGTTTCCTCTATAGTGGTGTTTGCTCATACTATAGAAGGACTGCATATATCATGATCTTACACTAATTGTGTGCAGTCTAAGAAAATTTCCAAAGAAAAGCCAACAAAAACTGTGGTTATGATGATCCATGACTTACTGCATTGATTTACATTTTGGTCTGTTGCACACAGTGCCTAACAAGAGATTGATTGGAGAAATGAAGCTCTGAATAATGCCATTAATAAATCAGGGTCTTTTGCTTCATATGTCACATAAGAGTTTGGTTCCTAAAATGAAAAAAATTGGATAATGGGAAGTCCTGGCTAGTTTGTAACACCATTCTCCTTTCTGAGTATGTTCTCAAAATGCTTGAGCATCCTAAGTTGCTATGGATTTGATGTTGTTTGGCACCTAACAAAAAGCAACTTTCTCACCAGATAGCCAACTTAATTTAGAATGCATTACCTACAATCAAATTATCTGCTACATGCTGAGAGAGTAGTTGGCTGTATGGGCAGCCAGAAAACCTGGACTTTCTGGTTTTTCAAAATTATCTTTCTGAGATGTTCTTATAAGCAGCTACTTTCCTCTTTGGGTTTTCAAACTGAGGGTCAAATGTGCTTCACTGAATCTTTCTTTCTTTGCTTAACAGAATGCTATCCCTCTTTTACTGTGTCCAGCTGGCACATCCTCAGCATGCTGATTTCATTTAAAAAATCACTACCCATTGTAGAAGCCAGATGTAGCTGAATAACAGTGTTTTGCTCATCATATCACATCACTTTGCTGGCTGAACTGTTCAAAGGGCCATTCCTGAAAACAGTGAGTACTTCTGGAGCAGTGAGAGAAGACATGAAGTGCTACATCTGTGATGTGCCTGAGAGTGGGACTGCTTTGACAGGGTGTCTGTCATCCCATGGCTCTAGCATTTGAGCTGGTTCTTCAAACATACTGTTATGGAGGTTCACTTAAGCTAAATAAGAATAGTTGGAAAGAAAGGAACTGGTAAGTATAAAAATAAAATGGTCTCAGGTAAGACTTCCACAGGATAAACTTTGTGTATAAAATGAGTCATTCTTTATCTTCCATTCAGAAAGAGCCTGTCACCTAAACAGTATACAGAAAATAATGAGAGCACAGGACCGATCATGCAAAGGCTTGAATGTTGTTCTTGGCTTTTCTGAGCTGCTTTGAACAAGTCACCTCCTCGATTTCAGTACCTTCTCTGCATTTTAATCTTTTGTGTTATTTAACCTCAGCTGGCAGCTAAGCCCCACACAGCCACTGACTTCCTGGTGGGAAGGGGGAGAGAATCTGAAGGGTAAAAGTGAGAAAACTCATGGGTTGAGATAAACAGTTTTAATAGGTGAAGCAAAACAAGAAATTCATTCACCACTTCCCATTGGCAGTCAGGTGTTCAGCCATCCCCAGGAAAGCAGAGCTCCATCACACATGAAGAAAACAAACACCATGACTTAAAATGTCTCTCCTTGCTTCTTCTTCCCCCATCTTTTATTGCTGAGCAAGATGCTGTATGGTATGGGGTAGCAATAACTAAAACATCCCTGCGTTATCAACACTGTTTCCTGCACAAATCCAAAACCTAGCCCCATTCTGGCTACGATGAAGAAAATTAACTCTACATGAGCCAAAACCAGCACAGTAAGCATCCAAGATTGCTGCTTGTCTTGGTTAAACATACCCTTTATGTTTTGAAGGTGGTCATGTCTCTTTCTTCCCCTTCTAAACAGTCTCATGCCTTTGATCTTTCTTCATAGGTCCTATTTTCTAACTGTTCAATCATCCTCATTGCCCTTCTCTGGACTCTTCCAAACAATCCATAAAATTCTGTAACTGCAGGGGCTGTAAATGAGCATGTTACTCCAGCTCAGGCTTTCTCCTTCTGAAGATGGAAGAGTGCTTTCTTGGAGTGAAGAAGTGCACTGACTAGGAAAAAAAGAAAGACTGTGTGAAGATACTGTAAGACCTGGCTATTTTCAATTATCTCCTATGAAAGTCTTGGTCACCAGATGCTAATGTTAAATCACCAGTTGTAAGCATTTCTGTCATCTCACTTAAGCCTTATTTGTGTAGCTACAAGCGCCCTTCATAAGCTTCCTTTTGCCTTGCTGTCATCTTAATGTGATGTTCTATACACTACATTACTTTTTTTGGAAACGTGTGCAAAGACTAGATTCATAAAACTATTTTGGCTATATTAGGATCCAGTGAGATTGCATTACCTTCTCTTGTACGGAAATAGTCCAGAGATTGACTAGTTCATCTTGTAGTAGCCTCCCACATCACAGAAGGCTCCTGGAACTCTAAGGGAACAGACACCAGTGGAAACGCCAAGCAACTGCAGTGCCCATAGCAGTACATGGCTGCTTAACATGCGCCATGTGTACTGTTCCCCTCAGCACTATGAGTATCACCATTCATTCAAGAAGTTATTGGTGACTCTTTTACCAGATAGTCCTATCTCTTGGGCCTCTGTACCCTATTAAGCAGGTCAGACATTACAGTCACTGGTGTTTGCTTGAGTTTCAGCTTTGAGATGTTAAATACAGTTTTGCCCCCACCTAAAAAGGAAATACTAATCTGAAATTTTCTGTCTTGGTGCTTTGTGCTGCATTGTTTTAGGACTAGCCAAAACTTGAATCATATCTAAAAATAGAACTTGTAAAGAATATACTTTGTAGTATATGAAAATTATGGTGAGGTTGGTTTTGTGTTGTTTTTGTTTGTTTTGTTGTGTTTCCAGGTGTGATCTGCTATCTCTGGAAAAACATATATGGCTTGAGCCTTGGATAAAATTGCCTGTTTGATCTGGGTGAAGGCTGGAACTGTTCTGTGTTGCCTTTTTGGATTGGGTGAATCTGGGCAGCCACCTTTTCCTCTGCTCTTAGTGAGCATCCAAAGCAGCACTGCCTCAAATGCTGCCAATGAGGAGAGTCAGGGACAGGAGAGAAGTTCCTGTTGCTGGAAAAGGGAGCAGGACCAGCCCACTGTGGTGGGTTAACCTTCGCTGGTGTCCACCAAAGCTGCTCTATCATTCCCTTCCTCAGCTGGACATGGGAGACAAGATTTAACTGAAGGCTTGTGGATTGAGATAAGGACAGGGATAGTCACCAGTGACCATCATGGGCAAGACTTGACCTGTGGAAATAAGTCTAATTTGTTACCGACAAAATCAGGCTAGGATAATGAGAAAAAAAACCCCAAATCTTAAAACACCTCCACACCACCACCCTTCTTCCTGGGCTTAACTTTACCTGTGATTTTCTCCACCTCCTCCCCTCCAGCAGTGCAGGGGGATGAGGAATGGGGGTTGTGATCAGTTCATCACAGGTTGTCTCTGCTGCTCCTTCCTCCACAGGGGAGGACTCCTCACACTCTTCCCCCATTCCAGCATGGGGTCCCTCCCACAGGAGACAGTCCTCCTTCAGCTTCTCCAACATGAGTCCTTCCCACTGGCTGCAGTTCTTCATGAACTGCTCCAGCGTGGGTCCCTTCCATGGGTGCAGTCTTTCAGGAACAGACTGCTCCAGCGTGGGTCCCTTCCATAGGTGCAGCCCTTCAGGAACAGATTGCTCCAGCATGGCTCCCTTCCATAGGTGCAGCCCTTCAGGAACAGACTGTTCCAGTGTGGATCCCTTAAGGGGTCACAACTCCTGCAGCAAACCTGTGCCAGCTGAGGCTCCTCTCTCCATGGGGCCACAGGTTCTGAGAGAAGCCTGCTGCAGCACGGGATTCCCACAGGGTCACAGCTTCCTTCAGGCATCTCCCAGCTCTTGAATTAGGTCCTCCCCAGGCTGCAGGTAGAGATCTCCTCCACCATGGACTTCCATGGGCTGCAGGGGCACAGCTGCCCCACCATGACCTGTGCCACAGGCTGCAGGGGAATCTCTGCTCCAGTGCCTGGAGCACCTCCTCTCTCCATTCTGCACTGACCTTGGTGTCTTCAGAGCTGTTGCTCTCACAATATTCTCACTCCCCTCTACAGCTGCTGTTGCTGTTATGTAGGTAGGTTTCTGCCTCCCCCTTCTTAAATATGTTACCTCAGAATCACTACTATGGTCTCTGATGGGGTCAGCCTTGGCCAGCATTGGGTCTGTCTTGGAGCCAACTGGTATTGGCTCTGTTGGGCATGGGAGAAACTTCTGGCAGGTTCTCACAGAAGCCACCGCTGTAATCCCCTGCTACCAAAAACTTGTCATGCAAACCCAATATGCTCAGAAAAGAGATGGGGAGTTAGACCTGTGAAGGGGTTCCAGTCGAAACATGCAGTACACCTGGTCTGTAGGGACAGGATGGAAGCTGATAAAGAAAAGGATAAGGGTTGGAAGGCAGAGAGTTCTGACAGAGAGAGAGCTGAAGAAGGTTTTATTGCTTGGAGGGGTGTAGCATTAGAAAGTAGAACAGTGAGATGCTCTTTTTTGCTCTCCTCCCTCCTTTCTCCATTTTCTTGAATACATCACCTGAAAACTGAATTCAGCATCATGAGGTGTGAAGTCTGGGTAAGTGGCATCCCTGCCTTTCACTGAGCTGTGTGGGCAGGTGCCCCTAATTAAGTCTGTATCCTGGTGCATTAAGGGACAAATCGGGTTTATATATGAAGATTCCAGTCAGTGTGAGCTTATTTATAAAGAACAGCAAAACTTCTCATTGCTTGGCTTTAGCAGGTTTAGAATTTATAAGGAATTGTAGTTCAGAGTGTACTACATCTGGTAGAAAAATGGCTATTTTCATGATGTGAGTACTTAGTTTTTCACTTGGGATACTTTTAGATCTATTGTTTTAGAAAGATATTTTAGTTTTCAGTTCTTACCGAGACGAAGTCCAGAATTTCACGGTGTAAATAGGCATCACTAACTCAAGGCTTGCAATTTCAGGTTTAGTTTTACCACAAAGCCCTGTATATTCTTCTTTAGGAAATCTAGATTCTTGTTTATATATACCATATATAGCCTCTGTTCCTTAAAAATGCACCTTAACCTGTTACAATCATGAGATAAACCCTAACATTTGAATTGCCTGACTTTGAAAATGACTGGTAGTACAATTTATGCTTGAGTACATAGGAATGAAGCCGCACCTTTTGGAATAATGATGTTAAATGATAGCCCAACTGAAAATTTGTCACCTGTTATTTTCACAGATTATCTATGTTGGGAAAATGGTTAGTGGATGATGGGAAAGGAAGGTGACAAAAATCAAACTGAGTAATTTATCCTAGTGTTCTTGGTTTTCCTATCTTTTACATAAGTGTTGTACATATTCACATACCAGTGAGATGGAGGAACTTCCTTCAGCAGCTACTACTGCAGTTCACTATGTCCACAGCTAGACAGGAACAATACTGGGGGTGCCAGTTATGCTGCCTCAGGGGAGAGGGAATCAGACTTTGGAGAGAGCAGAGCAAGAGGACATCAACACGTACCTACCCTATAAGAAAATTGATGTGGTTTTGAGCACAAAGCCTCTTGTAACTCTGAATATTGATGACACCAAATACAGTGGGAAGCTCGCTGCATTTGATGCAGCAATCAAAGGGTCAAATTCTTTCCCCTGCTGCTCTGTGGCAGTCTGCTGGGCTCCGTCAGTGAAACTGAAGAGGAGGATTTGGCTTGCAGCCTGGTTTTAATCTGCACGTATGGTATCAATTTTGGAAGCATTTTCTGGTTGTCCTCACAGTTATAAAAGGCTAGAAAAATATATTTATTCTCTTCCCTAGTTAAAAACCAGACTTTTATTAACTCATTTGTGTTAATTCTTGACCTGAAAAGTGCAATACTTCATTTTCAGTTTTGTCATAGCACTGGCCTTTGTATTAATAAGTACCTCTGCTGTCTATCCAAAGTGAAAGGCTGCTCTGGAGAAATCAGCTTGCCACAGTGGATCCCAACTTTCTCCTGCACACATAGCTGGTGCTGAGTCCACTGGGACACTAACCAGTGGATCCCCGTTCTGACCCTAGGCACTGGTGTCTCCTGCCCATCAGCCTTCTTCCTCCAGTTTCTTAGCATGTTCACCCAGTTGCTTGCTTGGAGTTGAGGAGCATCATGGAGCATAGGATGTTGGCAATAGCTGTGTACACTTCCAACCAGCTGCTGAAGAGGGAGTATTTCCTCATGCTCACCCAAATTTTCAGCTTCTGTGATGAGCGCTGCAGCCACCAGGCATTGACAAGTGTCTGGCCCCATTAACAAGCTCTGACCCTCTTAGAGCTCCACCTCAGGCACTGTCATACCTTTCCTAATTGCTGGTTTACTATAAGGTTTTCTTGAGGTGCTCTCAGGACACATTCCTTACTTTTTATCCCTTCTGCAATGTCTTATGTCAACCCTTTCTTTGAAGTAGATGCTGCTTCCTCCTGCTTCTGGGAAAGACCAGCAACTCCTGCTTCTCCCCAGAGCACAAGACTGCAAGAAGTTGCCTGTAGCAAGGATCTTGGCTTTCCTGTGTAATTGCAGGTACCATTCCTACTTTCTTCAGAATCTGGGGAAACTTATGCATGAGAGGTAATTAAGCCCTTAAAAAAAAAAAAATTATCTTCTTTTTTCCTGCTTTCTCATCTATTTTCTAGATTTTCATCCCTCCCAATTGCTTCTTTCTTTGTCTGTTTTTCCACCCCCTTTTTGCACTCCTCTCCTGTATTTTTAACTCTCTCATCTACCTTGACACTCACTCAGCACCCAAGATCAAAATTCCCATATGGCTGTACAGACCTATTACTTCTTGACTCTTAAAAATCTTCTTTAGCATAAAATGCTTCAATAAATAGAATAAGATAACCATTTAAGAAACGACTGAAAAACAGTGGCACACTGCATGTGGTAAACTTTGCTTTAGTTATACTGCTAGGAAATATTGGAAAACTAGAAGGTGAGAAAATGAAGTAGGGAGATGAACCAAAGCTGTTGGGTGCAGGAGCAAAAGGGCAGCCCTATCATATGCCAGCCAGTAGATAACACTTGCCACCTTGAATTTCTGCTGACAGCTGTCCATATGTGCCAATACTATTACTGATGGTTAACAAATCATTGGAAGTTCCCATTGTTTCCAGCAAATTGGCAGTGCAATTGCTTCTAGCAATTTTCTGGGACACCTTTATCCTGTAACAGCAGTAATTCATAATCAAAATAGACAGAAAACCAGGAAGTTCCTCATGCTTTCTAGAGCACACTGCTGCTCTGGTTCTTTATATGGAATACATGTTATCTGTGTTGTGTGGGTTTAGATTTCTCTCTTGTGAAAGACAGATCAATAACTGCTGAGTTAACCAAAATTAACCTCCTAACATTGCTATCATGAAAACAAGCTTTAACACCTGCAGACCAGTATGGCCGTGTTTGTATTTTAAGATCTGAGAATGCCTTAAACAGGCTCTTTTTAATAAGATGAAAGCTTTTGGCTACCAAAACCCACCAGCTGATTATTACCATCATGGTCTTATCTTAATGCAGTTGTTTTGAATGCTGAAGATGAGAGAGATCTTATTTTGGAAATACATTCCCAGTATTCAAAGTGGTTATGAAACCAACCCAGGTTTTTTAAAAACCTCATACCTCCAACATTAGCTTTTTTAATGAGAAGTCAGTCATGCAATTGAGAGAATACAGGTTTCTGTGTCAATCAAATTTGTTCTCATTCTCTAAGACCAATCACTATGACAGTTCCAGTTCACTTAAGTCTTTTCTTTTATGCAGCAGTTTGGTCATGGCTGTTAAGTATGAAGCTGTTTTCATGTTTAATTTTGGATAGTGGTAGCAACAGTGGGAAATCATAGCTAATCAGGCCATTGAACACAATCATGCCAGATGCCTTGTGTGTCTGGGGTTTATCATGCACCATGAGACAAGCTCTGGCCATTGTGTGCATCACA